AGCCGGGTCGGGCCCCTCAAAGCCCCGGCCGGGCTCCAGCACCCCCTCCCCGGAGACCTCCGGCAAAGCAAAGTCTTAAATGCAATTCATTTCTCAGTGCAAAGTTCCAGTAAACATTTATTTTAAGCTTTGTCACAATACCATAGTCGATTTGTGAAATTGGTCTACAAATATTTAACTACCTAGTACATTAATTTGGTGGTCAGAGAAGTAATAAATAAAGGCATGTATAGCTCTGTAAAAAATAAGTCTGATATATTTATTTGTAACTACTTAACAATATCATCAGTAGAATCTAGTATTTCCTTATGGATCATATGTCAAAAGTATACACACATCATCTCTTCAGACCAAATTATTTTTTACGTAAACACAATTGTACAAACTTAAAACACTATAATTCTGAAATCCGATGTACAAAACAGGATGTGAAATCACCAACATCAGTGCCGATAACGAGTGCTACCATAGCAAATATAATTTCTGATTAAAAGGAAAAGATCAATTTTTACATGTGCTGTCATCACAGTTCAATGGAACTATCCAAAGGTTTAAAATACATGCGGATACAATAAAACCTTTTTTATTTTCCAACCTAGACAAAGAGAACTCATGGTCATTCACGTCAGTAGCTGCCAAATACAGATCAGTACGTGAGGCAAATCACACTTAAAAACTTTTACGCCATCGAAGAGCTAAGATTGATACTGGTCTATTTTCCACACTAACAACGCAACAAGTCTTTAAAAGCAAATCACAATTTGAAGGACGCACTATTAAGTACAGCACTGAATTACACCAGATTTTATACATTGTACTCTGACACCCAATACCACTTTTAAAAGCATTACATTCCGCATACGACAGATCAGTTATCTATAGGTGAGGTGCGTACTTTCAAAGAAGTTGCTACGGATGTTAGTTTTGCAAAAATGTGAACGTACTGAAAATACTACAGTAGTTTCAAATATTAGGTCTTAAAGTATAAAGTTTAAAACACTGAAGACCCTACTGGCATTCCTTTTTAGCCCATCTTAAACGGCTACGTCAGCCGGTTAGACAGGGTGACGTTCTTTCAAGGAGCCGCTGCAAACGGGAACCATTCCGGATGAGCAGCCTTCGGAGGAGAGGACGGACGGGCTGTATCCCCACACCCGACTGCCCCTCGGGTAACGCGGGCCACATCATCAGCAGCTTGCAGCACGTCAGACGCCGAAGGAAGCGGACGGTCAGAGAAGTGCGTAGGCTTCCCACCTTCTACTAAGCTGTGTAGTGGTTAGAGCACAAGGCTGGGAGCTGCGAGATCGGGGCTTTACCCCCATTTCTGCTGCCAACTCGGGCAAGTCTGTCAAATTCTGCCTCTCAGTTTATCCGTGGGTGACAAGGCGATACCTGCACCGCTCTGTGAATTCCTACGAGACGCTCCTATCAATGGCAATACAAAAGCAGTGCAACCACTGTCACTGGAACGAGTTCTAAAAAAACAGCAAAAACCTCGATGGATAAACTAGAATGACTTGGTATGGAAAATACTTGTAAAAGGTATTTACAAAAGTTGAAAGAGATTAAATACAATACCACATTCATGTCCCAAAAGCGCTTTCACTACAGTGCATGTTTAAAAATACAGAGCATTTTTAAAGTACATATGTTGAAGATTAGATTGTGCTTTGAAAAAAATCATTACTTCTGAATTTGACTAACGAAACTGAGTGCTGGGAAAAATACTGATTAAAAATATCCAATTTTATATATACCGCTTTTCACATAACACTTTGCTATACATGGGATGCAAGTAAATACAAAAATACTTTCTTCAAGCAGCAGGGAAATCAAAATTAAGGGTATTAATATAGGAGGACTGATTTTACAAAACTAAGATAAATGATTACAGCGAGACAGGGAGAAACTATAATCCAAATTAAATTTTATATAGCATTTTAAAAGAAATTTTTTATCATAGACAACTCTTAATATATAAACCATTCAGTATTTTTAACTTCAATATTAAATATGGGTTACATAAAATACAATCTATGCAAAACTGGCCCATGCACATAGTCCTATTGAAGTCAACAGAGCTGCTTACACGAGCAAGGTTTGCAGGCTTTGGTCCTCAGGCCTCAAATTTAGCAAAACACATAAAGACCTGACAAGCTTTGCTCATCAATTCCTCATTTCCAGGTTGGTATTTTGGCTCAGTCCCCCGTGCACAACAGTAGGGAAAACCGAGTTTACGGGGAAGACTCTCTAATACTACGGAAAATGAGCTGTAAAAAGGAACATACTGTAATTTACATTTTCAGCTTTACAAAGCAGATTATTTGTTGCCGTAGTACGTATCTGTTCATGGGAAAGATTTTAAGTTACGAAAAGCAGTTACTCTGCAACTCTAAACGTGTATTTCTTGAAAAAAGGGGTGCAAGGGGATTTATAGATGACATACAAAATTAAAATACATTACAACAGTGCCAACCGCATATGAACTTCAACCGTGTTGAACTTAAGTGATCACAGTTTGGAGTAAAGGCCATTAACATGGATTTTAAAGTAATCCCTCATGTAAATGTCACATACAGACCAAAAGAGGTTAGGCAAGTAACACACATTTTAAGAGTAGTATTAAACTTCAGCATGAAGAGAAAAATAAATTCACCCCACAGTTACATTCAGTTAAGTGTCACATCCAACGAAAGCTCCACCCAACAGAACAAGGAGCCAAAGACCAAGTGCCAAGCTGTGCTCAGCTGCTCGTGGCCAGTCCCACGGGAGCTGGCACTCGCAAGCAAAGGAACAGCACGTGGGCCACCCATTCATATTTGCCCCCCTTGCTTTTTAGCCAGTCCCTATCACGGACCAATTTTTGTTGTTTTTTTTTTTCTTTACTTGTTTGTTTAGACATTATGGAACATGTAGTTCTTCAGCTGTGGCCCATTTTACCTCTCACAATATTGATACTGTGCTCATCACTATGGTTTAGGTGCCTCCCCTCCCTCCCCCCATTTATATCCTTGAATGCTATTGGTGACCAACTTAAACCACCCACCGGACTTTCTTCCCTGAGGTTACCTTTGTTTCAATGCATTTCAGCAAACCTTACAAAGCCAGTGATAGTCTACCAAGCTAGTTAATTCTAAGGTTACAAATACATAGAATCCTTCAAAATAAAATTGCTTCAAAGTTCCTACATCGCTTTTAAAGACGACTGTTTAATACATCCTTCTCATAAGGTGACTCGCTTTCCCCAAAACCCAATATAGTGAGGACACAGACTCCAAGCAAAAAGCTCCTATAAAACTATTACAATTTTAGAAAAAAATCCAGATCTTCCTGAAGATAATTTATTGCCGCTTATTGGTCCTGAGAAAGCTTTAAGCAACAATACATTTGTGAGTGGTTTAACTGCTGCCTTTTTTGAGAAAGTACGTGGGTCCTCAGATTAAAAAAAAAAAATTAAAAAAAATCATGTTTTACTCTATTCACTTATGCTTGGAAAATGCTTCACTGTGAAGATCAAATATGAATTACAACTTGCCACACTACATCTCTTCCCTTTGTGTCAATTGATTAAAACAGATTTCCTTTCAGACGCCAAATTAAAGTTCTCGAGATGAAATGCAACGAAATAACGACACACGTGCACTTCTCAATTCCTCATATTGCACTGGTGTTTAAGGACTTCACATTTACAAAATCTTTCTCCCTTATTCCCCATCTCCTACTAAAAGCTATGGTGTGAATTTTTTGGCCTAGATACCAGAAAATTCCTCAACTCTATGAAAGGCAACTTTCAAGGCAATGAAATAAGCCAACAATAAAAGAAAAACATTCACAACTTTGAAAAAAAAAAAAAAAGGCAGACCCACAGCAGTTACTTCTCAATGGAAGTGTTTGGTAGCTTGAGATTTTTTTTTTTCTTTTTAACTTTTTAAGTGTCAAATTTGCATATGTTTAGCTCAATTTCAGTATTTGAAAGACTACTCAATTTGCTTTTATAAAAACTTTACAAAAGATGTTTTTAAATGCTTGTAAAAGTAAGCGTTTATCTACTGAGAAAATTCTAGCACTGGATAAAACTCTCTGAATATACAGCTGAATTTTTGTAATGTTTTTTTTTCCTACCAGTATAATGGCTGAGTGTATAATCTAGATAAATTAGTCTTACACATGATGAAAAGTTATAACTTCGCACACTTTTTACCATGTGATGTTTTGTTGCTTTGTAACTTCGAATAAGACAGTGCTTAGGAATTTTCTAGAGCTGGTGTACAGTGGTCTATGGGGGTTGGTTCATTGGTCACTGCCTCTGTCCAGGTTTTCAATCACCCTAGAAAGACGTATGTTCAGAAGTCTGATCTGACTATCGAGGTGGTCCATCTTCTCCTCAAGGCTGCTGTTGCTGTTTCTTCTCCAGTAAAATCCAACTGGCCCTGTCATGAAGTAGACCGCTACAACAAAGCAGAGAGGCAGGACTGCGTGTTCTGGGTCACCTTCGTACTTCTGGAGGATGTACACGCATGAGAGAGTGAAAAGGGCAACCCTCGCAATCCAGAAAAAGCGACCAAACAGCATGTGCAGGAGATAGAAGAAGAATCCAAGGAAGAGAGATAAAAACCAATAGGCAAGTAAGATGGCACCAATCAGCAGCAGAGCACGGGTCGGGTTGTTGGCAATTGCCGCTGGGCTGAAATAATGAGTCAAGTTGGAGGCTGAAAAACAAAGGAAAATTTACAGAATATTAACAAGCGCATACCGAAGTGGTAAGGGTAAAAGTGCAAGCACAGTGTCAAAGGGTCATGCAGTGGGGTCACAGCTGTGTTTTCGAAAGGAAGGGGTAAAGCTAGTTCCTCCATTTCTGGGTGGAACTTTTTCAAATCATTGGCACAGCTCCAATGATGCAATTGAATTAACTCCTTTAAAGTAGAGTTCAAAGAGGTGCTAAAGGTTCTTTAAAGACAAACTACTGTGGGGCCTAAGGTTGAAGTTCATACTCAGGCTAAAGATCCTGCTTTGCCAAAGTTATATTCTAGAGGCTCTCAATTGCACCTTTCCTTCTCCTAGTCTTCCTTTATTTCCCTGCACCATTCCCGGCCATGTGCAGACATTTAATGATAATACCAAGATATCAACCATAACTTGTAATGCATTTTATAGACATCCTGTAGATACATACATAGAAACGGAATCGCTGGGTTTAGTCCTCTTGTTTGAAGGAACTAATAGCAAAATCAAAGCCATGTGAAACAGATAGAGATACCACTGATTGATGTTTAATCCAGCATTATACAATGTAATTATTTTTCCACTTGGCCTATGCTTGTAAACATTGTTACGGGCTGGTATAGTTGAAGAGTTAACAGGCATCAGACTTACCATCAATTCCAAGAACATCTAACAAATCAGTCCATATTCTCCAGAATGTGTCCATTAATATATCCACCCCATTCACAAACCTCTCTGTCAACCTTGAGAAAAACTGAGAAATAAAATTGAAAATTAAAAAGAAAAAATATTCCTTGACTCCTTAAACACATTTTGAGACTTAGTAGTCATGAGTAGAATTATAATTCATTAAACAAGAACTGCAGGCTACTTTTAAGTCCCCAAGGAAAAAAAAAAAGGTAACTCTGTAAATGTCTTTTAACTCTGTGAATCATAAATTCACTTATTACAATTACCATTATTCCAGGTATTTTGGCATGTAAATCTATATGTTGGCGGGATTTAAAAATGCACTTTATTAGCTTTACCATTGTTCTGAAGTTTAAAGAAAACACTATTACTAGAATGGACATTGGTAAAGCAAACCAGAGAATTAGTTTTATCGAGCAACTGAGAGATGTCCCCAGCATCACACCCAAATGTCTCAAACGTATTTATAGGTCAATTTAACAGTATTTATTATTTCTTCCTACTGGCTGAGGAAAGAGAGAACAGGGAAATGCATAGGTCCGTCTGCCCGCATGCCCGACCTCCTGCAAGTTCATACGTGGCCCTCCAGACACGGGATGCTCTGCTGATGCAGACAGACCGTATTTCAGTTGGACGGCTCCCCACCGACAGCGCTCTGCCCTAGCCGACTCCCCCACCTAAAATAACCTTTATTTAGAGATTTCTCTCACTGATATTTTTCGCAGTTTGCTCCACGTCAAGCCTCGCCTCCCCT